TATTTTAGCATCTGTTCACATTACAGACACTAAAATCCTATTGACCAAAGCAAGTCTGGCCAAGTCCAAAGTCAAGGGGAAGGAAAGTATATTTCACCATCATGAGACCATGTTGAGAATATGAATATATAATGTCACTACATCAGAAGAAAGAATTGAGATCAATAATTCAATCTATCACACTAAGTAAAATTTCATTTGAAGAAGGGTGTCTATGCCTAAAAATGTTTTAAATTTCTGGCCAAGGTGATTTCTAAAGTCTTTTCTAGTTTTTGGAACACCATGGAAATAGAACATTTGCATGGGTAAGGGGTAAATCAGTAAGTGTAGAAAGAGGCCAGTCCTGTTTGGCAGGCACTCGGGTGCTTATATATATTCCACCAAGCACCTGGAAGGAGGGCAGGGAAGGCAGAGTGAGGATGCTGCACAATTAACTAGTATATCCAGAATTAACCCATTATTTATTATATCACTTTTTATGCATGTCATAAGTCTTTCAGGCCAGATAGACTCATTCCATTATAAGTTCAAAATGTATTCTATTAATGTATATTAATGTTCACATTATCATTATTATACACAATAGCCAAAAGATGGCAACAACACAATGTCCAACAGAAGAATGAATAAAATATTGTGCAGACATACAATGGAATATTATTCAGCCTTAAAAAGAACAGAAATTCTGATACATGCTACAATATGATTAAAGCATGAAAATGCCAAGTGGAATAAACCAGACATAAAAGAACAAATATTACATGATTCTAGTTATATGAGGTACCTCGAATAGTCAAATTCATAGACACACAAAGTAGAATAGTGGTTAGTGGGGGCTGGAGAGTGGGGAGAAATAGAGAGCTATTGTTTAATGGTTACAGAGTTTCAGTTTGGGCTGATGAAAAGTTCTGGTGATGGGTAGTGCCCATCGATCGATCGTTGCACAGTATGAATGAATGTATTTCAGAAAATTGAATTGGACACTTAAAAATGGTTACAAAGGTAATTTTTATGTTATATATGTTTTACTGCAATTTTAAAAAAAAAAAACCACTTGCTTCACAGAAAAAAATATACATGCCAAAGCTAAATACAAATAATTAGGATAATCCACACCACTGTACTGCTCTACCATAATGAGTAATTAAAGAGTTAACCACAGTTCATAATTCAATCTTAGGCTAAATAAAAATGAAATTGGGAAGGGCAGAGAAACTCTTAATGACATACATTTTAAAGAAAATTAGGCTCCTACAAAGACACAATAAACCTGTTAAGACTTAAAATTCACTTATTTCAAGTTTATATTCTTGTTCAGAAAACCAGGAGGCAAATGAGAACTGTAGCAGCCTTTATATGTCCGTACTTGTATATTTGGAAGTTGCAGTCACGCCAGGAATGCACTGTTCAGCTCTCCCTTCAAGAGAAAGTGATCCAAGGAGTGTAGTTTGGAGACAGCCTCCAGCTGCTGCACCTTCAGCATCCACCACAGTGTTCCTGCTGATGTGACACTTCCTGGGCAGCTCTGGTGACTGAGCTCGGTAGGGATAGGAGATTTGGGGCATTCCTGCCTAAGAGGGGACTCTTCTAATGGGCAGTCTTTGCTCTGGCTCTCCCCATTAGCCCGCTGAGAATTTCTCAGAGCTGCACTTCTGTCTGGACTCTCTTCCTCCCACCAACCCTGCTTCCTTCACAGGTACCAGGTGGACAGCCCAGCTTGAGGCTCTCCCGTCCACTCCTGCCCACCCCCCCACCAGCTTTAGCCTTCACAGCATTTCCCCTGGAAGTGCACACCTGTCTTGATGTCTGCTTCCTAGAGCTGGCACAGAAACATAATAAGTTTTGTTTGTTTGGCATGATGAATTGACTTGCAAAAAGAGTATTGAGCGGATTCAAATACTTGCTTTACTTTAATGATATTAAAAGAATGAAGACTGTTCCCCTAAAATTGGTTCTCTAGGATGTGTCAGCCTGGCTGACTTGAACTAGGTGATTGGGGTTTGGGGAACTGATTTCTCCAGGTTGACTATAGCTGCAGGCCCCATGGATGCTTTCATCAAGGCAGGACATGATGCATCAGAACAAAGAAGTGAAGGAAAACAAGGAAAAATGGAGAACAGGAAACTGAAATAGGCTGCAACTGGGGACCAGGGAGTCAAAGCACCGGGAGAGAGAGAGATGTATCGCTGTTCTCTGGGTCATACTGGGAAATCAATCCCTGGCTAAGACCTCTTACTTCTTATGTATGCCTGATGTATTAGTTTTCCAGGGCTGCTCTAACACATTGCCACAAATTGGGTGGCTTAAAAACAACAAAAAGTCATTCCCTCACAGTTCAAGAGGCCGGAGTCTTAAAATAAAGGTGTCGGTGTACTGGTTCCTTCTTGGAGACTCAGAGGAAGAATCCTTTTCACACCTTTCTCCTAGCTTCTGGTGGCTGCCAGCAATCCTTGTATTCCTTAGCCTGTGGCAGCAAAACTCCAGTCTCTGCCTCACTCATTACATGGCATTCTCCCTGCGTCTCTGTGTCCAAATTGCACCTCTTATAAAGACAGCAGTCATACTGCATGCAGGACCCACTTCAATTCAGCATGACCTCAACTTGACTATATCTGTGAAGTCCCTATTTCAAGTAAGGTCACACTCACAGGTTCCAGGTGGACATGAAAAAAAATTTTTTTTTTTTTTTGGTGGGGGGCAGAGATATTATCCTGTTTAACTCAGTACACCTGGGAACTTGAGTTTAGATTAAAAACTAGTCTTGAGATGGGAAAGAATTTCCAGCTGGCGAGCCTTTGAAAATAGGAATACAGGGCCTGCCTGCAGATCTGAAATGTCAGAAGGTACAGATTGTCTTCTTTCCTGACCACCCTTCCTCCACAATTAAGATGATTACTTAATTGATACTCTCCTTGGCTTCCAGTCTTCAGAGCCCCGTGAAATATCTGGCTTAGTGCATTTGTGTTTGTGCATTTGCCCTACTCCTTTACCACCCCATCACAACTGTTTTTACAGAGGAAGGCAGATGGCAGAGTCCAAATGCTAAATTGCCAGACTCACGTTGAGGTGGGAGACAGCTATGTTGAGTGGAAGGGGCAGCTGCACCACTGAAATGGAATGGGGGGAGGAATTTAGGTTCTTGTGTCTCAGGTTTTACCCAATTCTCTTTATGTTGACCTCCTCTACCCTTTCACTCCTAGATCCTGAAGTCCCCAGTACTGCCAGTTCCAGAATATTAAGAAGATTCTGCAGTAAATCAGGATGGTTTTCAGCTTTTTGCACCACCAGCTCAGAATTCTTCTATCTCTGTTCTGCTCCAGATTGCAAAATTGTGTTGCAATTTGTGTTGTCTCTTTCCCTGCTTTTCTCACACTTGAGGTTTTTTTTTTTTCAGTGTGGACATTCATGTCTATCATCTACCTATCTGTCCATCTATCTACCTATCTTTCCATCCATCCATCTCCCTTCATTGCAGTTTCGGGGAGGCTTTGGAGGGAGTAAAGTTAGATGTGTATAGTAGTCAGACATCTTAACCCAGAACTCCAGATTTAAAGTGATACCAATCAACTTCTCCTGTAATGTTGAGCTGCTCGGTGCAGAAATGAGGTAGGTACACAGATTTAACCAGGGTTGAAGTTTTGCCAAGTATGAAGGGAGCAAGGTGACAGGACTTAAGGGTGCTTTATTTGCAAGGGAGTAATTATAATGATGCACCCCAGACTCTAAAGCTGGGTAGAGAGGGTAGTGAGAGCATGAAGGAGATGATGAGTGAAAAAATTGGGAGTCAATGGATTGGAGTCTCAAAGATTTTTGAAAAAGTGTTCAATTGGGTACACAAACTTAAGGGAGCAGAAAGGTTAGTGAGTAGAAGGCTGGAAATTTAGGTTTAGGACTTTGGAGGGTCACTTGGTGTGGCCCTGAGAAGGGGTGGTGTGGCAGATTATTTTTCAAAGATGGTCACAGTATCTCTCATCCCATTTGGCCTTCTACAATGTGACAATGCCACACCTCCATTAAGAGGTATAGTCTTCTTATTCCTTCCCCTTGAATCTGGGCTGGACTTAGAACTTGTTTATAACCAACTGGGTGGAAGTGAAGCTGTGTGATTCTTAGGCTAGGTCAGAAAAAGCCATGTAGTTCTGTCCTGGTTCTCTTGGAAAGTGTCCTCTTGAGGAAGCCAGCCATCATGTGAGCAGTCTAAGACTGAGACTACCATGTTGGAGAGGCCATGTGTAGGGGCTTTGGTTGACAGTCCCAGCTGAACCTAACCTTCCAACCACCCCTGCCAAAATACCAGACATGTGAGTAAAACTGTCTTGGACTCTGCGAGAGCAGCCAGCTATGTACCTATAAGTGACTTCAGCTGATACCATGAGGAAACTTGCCCAGTTGAACCCCACCTGAATTCTTAACCTACATAATTCAGGAAGTATGGTAAAATGTCTGTGATTTGCAAGTCTCTCTCATCCAGATCTCCCCCATGAACTCTAGACCCATATATCCAACTGCCTTTAGAACATCTCTACTAATAGCATCTCAAATTTAACATGGCCCAAATGGAGTTCTGGATACTTCTCTCAAGCTTGCTCTTCCCTATCTTAAAGGCAATTCAGTTCTTCCAGTTGCTCAGGCCAAAAACCTTGATATCATTCCTCACTCCTTTCTTACTTATTCTCCATATCCAATGTTTGGAAATCCCATTGGCTCTATCTCCAAAATATATTCAGATTTCAACCACTTCTCACCACCCCGCTGCTACTCCTTGGTCCAAGCCCCCATCATCTCTCCTGGATTACTGCGATAGCCTCTTTACAGGTCTCATTGCAGCTGCTCTGTTCATCGTCACTCAGCAATTTTCCTCAGCATGTATCATTGTCTAACACACTACATATTTATATTTTACTTATTTATTGTCTATTTTCTCCAGTTAAATGTAAGTGCCACAAGGCAAGCAATTTTGTCTAATTTGTTTACTGCTATTTAGACTAGTGCCATGAATATAAAAAACACTCAAAACATTATTTATTGAATGACAGAATTTCTTAGCACAGTGTATACTATCCCAATCAAAGGGAAAAAATATAGGTAAGGGAAACAAAAAGGCAGGGGTGGATACAGCCAAAGAAAATTCTAGTAAGAGATATAATTGTAGCTTTCATTTATTGCATCTTCATTCAATCATTTATTCACTATTTTCTAATTGCATTCTTGATGAATATCTGTGTTCAAAAAAAGAGTGAATCCACTAAGCAAAGTTCATTTTTCATGATGTTCCTCTTTTGATTTTGAGTCTTTACTGTCCTGAAGTCCTAAGAGAATGGCATCAGCTTCTAGTATAGTTGTATCTGTTGTTGCTCCCAGAAACCTAGACGTAAGTTCAAGATCTAATAGCCGCAGACGGACCCTGGTTCCTTTCTGGTATTTCCTAAATAGTAAGAAAAAAAATTCTATTAATTCTGTATATCATAACATGAACACCTAGTTAAAAATTAAATGCAAATTCTCTTTTTAATTTGTGTTGGCTCGAGATAAAGAAGTTAACACTAGTATCTGAGAAATAGTTGTATTCCACATAAAAGTAATTTGGTTGTTTAAGAATTTTCATCTTAAAGTTGCCTTTGAAGATTTTATAACCACAATAAAAGTATACTCCAAACTGAAATTCAAACAAGTCAGTTCTTCAAACTGGTATTTACTTTAACACGTCATTTATTTTTAAAGTTAGAGAGTATCAAGGGGAAAAAACGTTTTCAGATATATTTTTCTCCCTAAAATTAAAATATTCTTTTAAAGTAAAGTGAAATTTTACAAAAGCAAAATGGAAAAAAGTCTAAGCACAAAGCATTCAGTATTTGGGATTGATTGCACTGTTATTAAAATGTAGTGCCAGTTGGATGAACCTGGAGGTCATTATGTTTAGTGAAATAAGCCAGGCACAGAAAGACAAATACCACATGATCTCACTTATATGTGGAATCTAAAAAAGTTGACCTCTTAGAAACATAGAGAACCACTGCCCCCATGGTTATCAGGTCAAAGGATATTGGTCAAAGTATACAAAAATTCAGTTAGATAGGAAGAATAAGTTTAAGAGATCTATGTACATTATAGTGATTATAGTTAATAATAATGTGTTGTGTGCTTGGAAATTGCCAAGAGTGTGGATTGTAAGAGCTCTCACCACGAAAAATGATAAGTATGTGAGATAATGCATGTGTTAATTAGCTTGAGTTAGCCATTCCACAATGTATACATATTTCAAAGCATGTTGTTTATAATAAATATATACAACTTTTATTTGTCAATTTAAAAAGTAAATGAATTAGGAAAGATATAATGCCAGCCATAACATCATGATGACTCAATTTGGTCAATAAAATATTCAAGTTTTTTATAATACCAAATGAAAACTGATATTCACTTGCCTTTCTTCCTTAATCATTTATTTTAAAAGTTTAATGTTAACATTATAGAAAAGCAAGAATGAAAATACTGCTACTGATTAAAACCCACAAATCTTTAAAGATCTAAATATATACTTTAGATACTGTAATTTTGAAATGAAAATAATTTTATATAAACATAAAATGAAGAAACAAACGTCTCAAAAAAGTCACTGGAAAATAATTTTGGTAGACAATAAAATGAACAGTCCCCACACCATGTTTGATTAGATATTCTGAAGGCATTTATAAATGGTCCATTAAGTAAACTTTAGGCTTATTCAGCTGTTTTTAAAAAGTTATTTTTTTCTGATTATAGAAATAAATGTCTTTTTGTAAAATTGGGAAAATAATGAAGTCAATCACTTTTTCTAATCATTCTACATATCTGTATATATATGTATTAATACATATGTGTGTATCTGACAGCATGGATCATATCTTCTGTATTTTTGTTTAAAACAATTAGAGATATCCTCCATGTTACAGATAGAAAAATTATGGTACATGGAAATAAAGCTACTGGCCTAAAGCCACGCAGTGGTATAAGAGGATTTACAGATTCTTTTGCTCTTTCTTTTCTTAAGTTTTCAATTACCTGTGACCTCTTGCAAGAACAGTAAACTTAATCCCTTTAGGAGTGGTAAGAATTTATCGCTTCACATAGTCTTATAATGCCTTTCCTATGAAATAAAATATAAGCCATGTTGCTGCCATCAAACTCGTTTTAATTACTCTCCATTAGAAAAATGGTTACTTTCTCCAGTGGTAAATAATGAATTAAATTATCAGGAAAAAAATCTCCACAGTTTCATGTAATGTTATTTTTTACATCCTTTTTTTTTTTAATTAGAAAAAAAATCTGGATAGTTTTTCAGAATTCTTCTATTTCATATTAAAACCACAGAATACTGTTGTCTTGAAAGGTAAATAGGATGTCTCCATCGAGCACATTCAAAATGAAAATAGCCTGTGTTTTTACTGCTTGGTGTGTTTCTTTCAACTTCAAGTGCTTGCTTCTGACTGATCTTTGTGAACTCCAGCCTAAATGGATTCAATCTCAGCCTTTACCAGGACTGCTCTCTTCTACTGTGCACTTTCTCAGACCATATGCTGCAGTAAACGAGCCTGCATGTCTGAGCTGTATAGGAAAAGGGCAATTAAATCTGGTTTTGCATTTCTGCATTAAGGACATGGTTTAAAGACTTTCCTTTGGAGAGGTTTTTGACATTCTTTCCACAGACATTCTTTAACATCTGTCAGTGCATGCTACTGATGGTTCTCATAGACTTAAAATAGAGAGAATCTCTCTGACTAGTTCTTTGATATAAATATATTAAATAATACAAAGCCGACAAATACAAGGCTTGGATTCAACCTCAGTATCCAAAGAGAATATTGTGAGAGTAATTCTGACTTTGCTAGTCAAATTAGCTGTCTTTCTGTAATCATAATTCTCAGAAGTTTTAAAATAGTTCTTTTGAAATCATTAACTATGCTTTCATCCCAGTAAGTTAAAATCTTTAAGATTTTTTTCTTACTTTCTCACAGTGCCTTAAAGTTAAGACTATAGAGGTAAACTTTTCTTTTTCTCTTTTTTTAAGAAGAAAAAACTTTTTTTTTTGAAACAGAGTCTCACTTTGTTGCCTAGGCTAGAGTGAGTGCCGTGGCGTCAGCCTAGCTCACAGCAACCTCAATCTCCTGGGCTCAAGTGATCCTACTTGCCTTAGCCTCCCAAGTAGCTGGGACTATAGGCATGCGCCACCCAGCTAAGTTTTTTTTCTATATATATTAGTTAGCCAATTACTTTCTTTCTATTTATAGTAGAGACGGAGTCTCACTCTTGCTCAGGCTGGTTTCGAACTCTTGACCTCGAGCAATCTGCCTGCCTCGGCCTCCCAGAGTGCTAGGATTACAGGTGTGAGTCACGGCACCCGGCCGGAAAAAATTTCTAATGGTTTAATTAACACTAATTTGTTTTTTCCAATTCATATAAATGCTCACAGTCATGCCGATTTACATGTGAAGCCAGCAGCCATGCCCCTGTGTGTGAGCATGTGGGAATGTGTATACTTTGGTCTTTAAATGAACTGTTTGGGCCTCAATTCCCTCATCATTAAAAAGCACAGGGTTAGAAAAGACCTAAAGTCTTTTGTGGTTGTATGATTTTATTCTACTTTCAGAAAATTTTAAGTATTTGTGAATTGATACAGTATAAAGCAATACTAAGTGAAAAACTGATTACACATAGACACAAAATGCAAAATTTTAAGCCTTTTAATTAGCTATGTAAAATATTATGACCATCTTGAATATTCAATTAACAAGTGAACTCTTACATGCAGACTACTTGGTGGATTCAGATTTGCCCTACTTTTTCAAAGTACCATCTGCCATGTTTCCTTGACCTATCTAGTCTATTGCTTCTTTCTGTTCAATCTGTAAGATGCCTATCAGAAGTCTCTCATTTTTCTTTTGATTCCCTACATGATCATGAGCATGCAACATTTCACAGCCCCCAACTAGTTTCTAGACAATCTGTTGAATTAGTGGCCAGTTACTTTAAATACATACCTGTTTAAGTATCACTCACACCTGTATTATCTGTACTGCCCCATCAAGCACAACAGCCATGGGTAACAAAATAAGGTGACAGAGTGCTCACTAAGTTCCACTCCTCTCCAGTATTTCCACCTATCATTATTATAAAAATTTAAATACAGCACAAATCTTAAGTCCTAACTTATTATCTTGGGTCATTAGAAGATGTAAGTTGGAAATGGAAATTATCATATAATCATAATTTCTGATACCTGAATTTTCATTAAAAGTCATTTGAAAATAACTAATGATTATCACTTTAAAAATACTATTTAATATATAGAATGTACCTACTGATTAGGCCAAAATAAACAAAGCATATAACTGACAACTGGAAACTTACATACCCTCATGGCAATGAGCAAAGGGTATTGTTCATAATTCTGAATGCACTTCCTCAAACTGCAATCACCCTGAATAAGGATTTTAATCTTCTTCTACAACTCTAATGTGTGAATGTATGATTTTGTTTTTCCCTAAAACCAAGTTCTATTTACCCTCGCCTTGCTAGTATTTTGCGCCATCACAAACAGAAATTTTATTTCTTATTCAAACATTGGTTTATTTTAAAAAATATGAAAATGGAGCATTTTTAAATGTCCAGTAAATAACTTCACTTTCTAACAATCTGGAATGTGCATATAATATATTACATATGACATCAATAATGACAGTTACAATCTTTTCTTAGAGTTACAAAATAAGGTGTGTCAAGAAATGAGGGATTCTGGTGCTTTTGGGAATGGAAATTAAAATATTAAAAAAAATAAAAGAAAAAAAAAGAAAAAAAAAAAAAAGAAATGAGGGAAAGGAAAATCCTATCACCTGACAGCTATATCAAGTCTATTTTGATTACAAATCTAAATGTTTGTTGCTAGTTAAATTATGACTAAATACATATGGAGGGGGCAAAAAAAAATCCAAAGAAAGTAGAAGGAATAAATGCTTTCAGACACCTGAAATACGCTGACTAAAACTGGGATCAAACTTGGCGCTAGTATTATGGCATCTAAGCAAAAGGGAATACACTGTGTAGTATATTATGTTCATTTTATCAGAGAAGAAAATACATACATTTATTGGCAGAGGCAAATTTTGGCAGTGTGGAACAGAGATTTGCCGTGACTGAGTAAAACAAAACCTACCTTTTCTGGGCTGTTTACTTATCTGTAAAATGAAGGTTACATGTAATAATTCACAAGATCGATGTGAGGCTTAAAGCATTATAAAGTGTGAAAAGTGAATGGCACAAAATAAATACTCAACAAATAGGAACTATTTTCAAATTTACTGCATTGATACTTATAAAGTACAACAGACAACTGAAAGGATAATAACTTCAAATATAATTTTATTAAAGATATTAAGAATACTGTTCAAA